AGGACCCTTGTCAGGACAGGAAGGCAGCTGACCCCAGACTCAGGCCCATCCCCACTGCCCACCCTGGTAGAGCTTTATGCGTGAGAGTGTGTCAGGGTGGGGCACATGGAAGCGCCTAGGTCAGCCAGAGGTGTGCATGGGCTTGTGTGAGTGTGCAGACAACACAATGCTTGCACACACAAATACACACACACATAGACACACAGACATATGCACAGACACAAAACATGCACGTGCACACACACACACACACACACACACGGACACATACATGCACATCCCCTGTGTCACCCACCCCATCTTCACTCCACTCTTCTATCCCACAACCCACGGCTTTTGTGCCAGGGTCAGGGTAATCAGCTCTAGTCTCAGGCAGCCCTAGTGCTGGCGCTGGGGGAGGGGGTTTCACAGCTCACCTGGGGTCACAGACACCACAACGAGGAAGGTGGGGTCGAGGAAATATCCTGGGAGCCATGATGTAACGATTCCACACCAGTATGTTCCTGCATCACCTTCTGTGAGGTTCTCCAAGGTCACTGTAAAGGTGAGGTTGGCGGGATGGTCCCTGATGGACACACGGCCGTTACTCTCTTCTATGTCTGCCTCTTTGGTCTTTACAGTACTCCACACACATGGGCTTTTGCACCAGTATTTGGCCATCTCTCTGAATTTCTCCTCGTACTGACACTGCACGCTCAGAGATCCGCCCACGGTGCCCGTCACGGAGGTGGGGCCACTCAGACACCAACAGCCTGGAAAACACAACCGAGTGTGGTCCCTCACCAGATGAGCCTGGGTCAAGGGAATCTGGGGTCATGGTGGCCCCGGATTCCCCAAAAGGATCTCAGGGACTGGAGGAGGCCTTGGCAGGAGACAGACGTTTCCTGAGACTAGAGGGGGAAGAGGTAGCTCCCTACCCACAAAGTGGCACAAGGAGAGGGTGCTCAATGTGTGTGTGTGTGTGTGTGTGTGTGTGTCTGTCATGCACCAAGATCTCCTTTCTGACTGTGACCCTACAGTAATGGTGGTCACAGGCGCCCCTCTCCTCAGAGTTGCTCTGTCCACTATAGTGGATTGAACTCACCCGCTTCATGCTCTAAATGCTCCTGGTCACTGCTGGGGCAGTGCTGGCCAATCCTGGAATGTACTCTGCTCTCCCTCCTCCCACCCAGGTCCTCCTTCCCTCCCCATGGGCCGCCCCCCACACACACCCTGACCACAAGGAAGTGACATGTCACTTGTCCATTGTCAGTACTCTGCCCTGAGAGTCACAGTAGAGTGGACTTTCCAAAGAAGAAAGACTCCTGTGTCCCACCCCTGTCTCCCCTGTCTCCTTCCTTCCCACTCAGGGCACACTTCCCTGCCCAGGCTCAGCCCTGCTCACCTGGGACCTGCAGAAGGAGCAGAGCTACAGGCAGCCAAGGCCTCCCATCCCTCGGGGTCATGTCTACAGCACAGAGGTCACCCACAGCAATGCCAGGCCCCTGATTTCAAGGCATCTCCCAGACGGTCCAATCTCCACGACCCACTTCTGCTTTTTGAGGCCTCTTTGCTTTCTCGTCAACCTGTGTTGGTCTCACAATCTTCTTCCACGTTGACTCAAGCTGGTCGAGGTGCCAGAAGCTAGGGGAGGGAAGCACCACAGGCTGAGACAGAGTCCTGGGCCGGGTGCCCCGGGCTCCTCTCAATCCTGATGACAGGACAGCTCCTGGTCAAGGACTGGATTGGGATTGCCATCCTCTTAAGCAGACAACATCTGTTCCTCTCTCTGTCCACACTCGCCCCACACAATGGAGCCACCCTGGAACATTTCCTCCTCAGTGGAGCTTCCTCACCGCCATGACATGTCACTTCCTTGTGGTCAGGATGGACCATGTCCGGGGTGGAGCCCCAGTAGCCCATCTTCTCAGGCATCGGTGGTGCCTGCAGGGGTGTTAGGAACCCCTAGGCTGCAGCTCCAAGCACCCACAGTCCCCATGGGACCCCTGCTCTCCTCTGGCCACACAAGTTGGCACTGTGACCTCAGATACCTTCAAAGGTCCCATTAGGGTTCTGGGTTCCTAACCAGGGTACAAATCCCCCAGGCTGCGCTTCCCTCCTGTGTGTTTCTCTGTTCTCAAGACATGGACATGGAGCAGCCGTCACGAACCCCGTGAGCACCTCACATTTGACCCTTCTTTGGAAAGTCCACTCTACTGTGACTCACAGGGCAGAGTACTGGCAATGGACAAGAGGGTCCAGAGGTTGAAGGAGCTGATGGGACGATGGGGAAATGTGAAGCTGAGACTGGGCTGCTCCTCTCCATCCAGTGGCACGAGGGACCGTTGTGTAACAAGAGGGTGGTCTGCCAGAACACTAGCTGCTGGTGGCCCTTTTGGGTTCACAGTGGTGACCGGGGACCACTTCAAGGTTCAGAGTTGGGGGATGGTCCTTGCCAGGAGGTGGGGAGGTTGTCCTAACTCAGAGTGGCGTGTTCTCATGACATGATGGGTTTGGGGTGAGTTTATGCTGGAAATGGTAGGGAGGCAGGCTAAGGTGCAGGGCCTGACATCTTGCCTGGGTAAAGCCAGGTCCTCAACTTTGTCACGCACAACCAGGTCTATCAATTTTCCCCTAAACACTCTCTCCCCAGATCTGTTCCTCCTCCACATGATCTTATCCAGATCAAAGGGGACAATATTCCCAGAGTTATTGCAACTAGACCCTGTCACCCGGGATTCCTGTCTCTGTCATTCCCCACTAATGCTTCCTCTGGTACTGTGCATCTGCCCATACCTCCTCTTCCTCCTGATGTTACAACCCTCCTCTCTCCTCTTAGTGCAAGGGTGACATCCCTCGTCTTGCCAGTCCCCTCAGGCCTTGTCTTCCCTCTGTTCCACTCTTCAGCAAGAGAGCACTTCAACAAAATCAGGAGTAGCCAGTACACCCTTTTGTCCCCTGCTCTTCAGGTGAAACCCACTCTCCTTGCTTGGCTTACATGGCCTGAGTGGGACCAGCCAATCACGGGTCTGCATTTCTATCTTGCTCCCCCACCTCAATGTGCCCCGTGCTCCAGCCACAGTGCCCATCCTTCCCCAGGGCCAATGTCTGCAGCCAATTCAGTCTTTATTCATTCACTCAATCACTCATTCGCTCTTGAAGTAAACATTTATCATAAGCCGCTTGCCCCTCCCCTTGGATCCTTTGTCCACCTCTTCTCACTGCTTATTCCTTCTTGCTCTTTAGAGTTCACCTTGGATGCCACTCCCTCAGAAAGTCATCCCTGATCACCCTTCCTAGGGGTCACCCTGTTGTCTCAATCACCAACCCCCATTTGTTTCCTCCGTAGCTCACCAAACCTTGTTAGTGTGTTTCTTTTGGTGGTTTCTATGCATCTCCCTACTAGGATAGAGCTCATATCATAGCAGCAATCTGGGCCTGTTTTTCATCACTGAATGACCTGGTGGCCATCTACAGTATGGGACAAATGGTCGGCTTATGATAAATGTTTACTTCAAGAGCGAATGAGTGATTGAGTGAATGAATAACGACTGAATTGGCTGCAGACATTGGCCCTAGACAAGTGTGGTCCAACTAGATTTGATATCTATCGCGGCATTTCACATTCCTCCAAAACCCAGCGGCAGTAAACAACATTAATTATCTCACACTTCCTGAGAGTCACAAATCTGAGAGTGGCTTATCTGGGTGGTTGTGGCTCAGGATGTCTCTTTCACAAAGTTGTGGTCAAGATATTGACCAGGCTATGCTCATTGGATGGCTGGGCTGGCCTGGAGGATCTGCTTCAGAGATGACACGCTCACATGGTTGTTAGCAGGAGTCCTTAGCTCCTCGCCCAGTAGAACTACTTTAGTGTCTTCATGATATGGCAACGAGTTTCTCCCAGAGTGTGTGATCCTAGAAAGAGCAAGGCATAACATATTTATGATTTCTCCTTGGAAGTCGTATACCATTGCTTCTGCCATATCTGTGGACCACACACCCACCTGATACAATGTGGAGGACCCCTGCCAAAGGATGTGGATATCTGATCTGAGTGGTGGCCATGAAAGGATATCACTTTCTACAACGTCAGTGAGCTGTGTATTTAGGACATGTGCAATTTCCTGTTCTCATTGTTCCACTCTAATAAAAAAGAATTTAAAAAGCAAAAACCAAAAAATGAAAGCATACCTCTGAAACTTTGCTTAATTTTTGTGGGGAGGTTTGCTCCTTATTGGTCTTTTCTCCCATAGCAAAGAGTTTATGTAATCTCCCCATCCCCCGAGCTACCTTGCCAACAGCTCAGTCAACAAACTGACCAGAAGTCTATTGCAAGTGATGATGGGAGGATTCGAACCCAGATTCCTCTGGCACCACTCTTCAAGTGCCTTTCTCTCAGACCACGACAATGGCAGGCAGAGAGTGGCCAAGAGCCAGCAAGAGGGAGAAGCACTATCTTCAGACCCAGGGAAGCCCAATAAGAGGGTTTGTTAGGCAGCTGGTGGCATTGTAACCCAAAATGAGAAACTTGACAGGGACTCACTGTTTCCTCCGGCTTCTCAGCCCACCACCATCTCTTCCTTCTCTCTCTCACTTTCCCTCTTCTGAAAACTCTTCAGTTTCTGCAGCTCCTGGCTGAGCTGAGAAGTTGAAAGATCCACCAGGTGAACAGGGCAATTACAACAGCAACTTGACTTTAGGTTTGAGTCCGGGCCGTGGTGGTTAATGTTATGGGTTAACTGGCCATAGGCTGCTCAGATGGAAGATTATCTCTGGGTGTGTCTGGGAGGATGTTGCTCTCCCTCACGTGGGTGGGCCTCACCGCATCTTTTGAGGGTCTGAGTAGAATTGGTTGACCAGCAGAGGAAGGAGGAATTGTCCCCTTGCTGCCTGATGGCTTCGGCTGGGACGTCCACCTTTTCCCACCCTCTGCACTCTTGGATCTCAGACCCTTGAACTTGGAATGAATTCTACCACCAACTTTCTTGGGTACTCCTCAGCTCCCACCACCATGGGAGCATATTCTTTATAATAAACTCTTCATATACATATTTTCTTATTGGTTCGGTTTCTCCAGGGAACCTTGACTAATACAGGTGTGTATTTGACCCTGTGGCAGTTTACTTCTTCAACCCTCAAGCCTGCACATGAGGACCTAATTCAGGAAGATCCATGTGAGGACTCAACAGGAAGATGCAAAATCTCACCAGTTCCTCTCACCTGCAACGTGACCTCACGTGATATCTCCCAGAGTTGATGGAATGTAGGTGTTTCAAGGGCTGCTACAGAGAAACGCAGAGTAAAAGCCTAGGATGTCAGCATGCTGAGCATGGAAGAGCATGGGGCCCATCCACACAGTGAATTGGGTCCGTCTTTTAAAGGGAGATGAATGAAGCAAAGACCAAGTTAAAGGCAAATGTTATTGCCTTTCCTTGGGCTGGAATCAGAAGTATCTGCTTTATTCCTCTTTGGCTTTAGGGTGTCTCTGAGGTTCAGAGAGGCCTGGGACACTTTGGTTTCGTGAAGCTCTCAGCATTGAAGAAAAGAGAGATGCCAAAGTAGGGTTACAAAATTTCTGGGATATTTTAGAGTGGGAAGAGATAAATGTTGGCTGTGCCCCCACGCCAGTCTGGAGGATGCTGAGTCCTATTGCCTGCCTGCACCTGGAGCCTCACGTGCCCCAATCCCTGATGCGTCCCCAGGGGCACAAGGTTATCTCTAGGAAACTGGGAGAGGCAATTGGGCTGTGTACCCAGGGCTCTTGGAAGTGCTGAGAGGAACAGTACGAGCACTACAGGGACAAAAAAATTATGATGTATTTAAAATGTGTAAACTTCATGAGTCAAATTTTTATATGCAGATGGTCATAAGACATAATAAATTGGGCTATAAAAATGATTCCTGAAATAAAATATTAATTTACTTGTGCTTTGGCAGGAATAAAACACACATATATAAATAGTAGGACGAACATTTACGTCAGTGCAGCCCTGTGATTGTGTAGAGAATTCAATTTAGAGATAATATAAAGACTACTTCTTTTTCTCATCTTTAAATTTTTTTATTCTTATGTTAATCACCATACATTACATCATTAGCTCTGGATGTAGTGTTCCATGAGTCATTGTTTGTGCATAACACCCGGTGCTCCACGCAGAACGTGCCCTCTTTAACACCCATCACCAGGCTAAGCCATCCCTCCACCCCCCTCCCGTCTAGAACCCTCAGTTTGTTTTTCAGAGTCCATCGTCTCTCATGGTTCCTATAAAGACTACTTTTGAGGCTGGTCGGGGGATGCCAGGCCAGAGTCAACGGGTAAACTTCTTTCCCCGCACTGCAGGGTAGACCCTCCCAGTCCAACCTCCTGCCCATTTCTGCCCATCTCTCTTGGTCCTGGCACCTCTGTCTCCTTGTTTCTCATCCCCTCAGCCACCTTTCCTTAGACCTCGCTGGCCTGATCATAGTTAGTCTTGAAAGAGCTGCTTCCCTCACTCATGAGCAATAAGAGGAAGCATTGTCAGTTGTCACCA